CCAGAAGACACTGGCAATGTTTGGAGATGTCACAACGCAGGGAGGGGTATGGCTGGCGTCTAGTAGGTAGAGATCAGGGACTCTGCTGAGCATTCTGCAACATACGGGAAAGTCCTACAACAAAGTATCATTTGAATCAAAATGTCAATGGTAACAAAGTTGAAAAACCCTGCCCTACATCATGATTTTCATTCAGTTCATATGTAAATAAACGTTCTGTGCCACAAAGTTTAAACTTTCGCGTAGTGAACAATACTCAAATGCTTTTACAATTACTTTTGAATTTTTTTTTCTACCCTAACATTAAAAGGGAAAAACTCTCATAACTCATCAGTTAATGTCATGATTTACCAAAGAACTATGCAGATGGGAAAGAATTAAAAGGAAAAGCTGAGGCAAAGAATGAGTATACACAAAGTGCTGCAAAGGTCAGGAGTATCTGAGGGATTAGCAGGACGGCCAGGTTGAAAATAAGTTGCCTGCAAGGCCAGGAATGTTGGGAGTTGCAGCTTCGAAGGAATGCTGTGATCAGAAGCCAAAGTGCCTCATATACCACAGCAGTCTGCATTTTACTCTCTGAATAATAGCGATTTTTAAGAAAAGATTTTTAAGTTGGGTAGAGAAGTACGTTGTTTCTTAGGAAGAAAACTCTGGCGGCACCTCAGTTGCTAATCTAACATGATCATAGCCTGGTAAAGGACAGGCGGATCGGGAGACTGCTTCGAAAAATACAAGAACTAGGAGCACGTGGACTAAAGGGATGGTGAAGTGGACGGACAGCAAAGGCCGGAGGAGATTTAAACGTATTGTTAAGCTGTGTTCTCCCCTCCCTGTAAGATGAACATCTTTCAGTAGCACTACGAGTGTAAGTTAAAGGGGCAAGACCAGTACAGATGAGTTCACACGCCTGTATTCCTTTCCAAGGTGCAGCCAAAGCGTATGTGGATGAATTAAGAGAATGCCAGGCTAGACAACAAGGATGTGTGTGTGCTAATGTTTAAGGGATCTCTGTGCGACTTCCCATGTATGTGACAAGTTGATGATATTACCTGCTCCAGGACTTCCTTATAGGTAATAGTTGCTTTAGTATCTGTAACAGGACTGTCGTAGATGATCGCGATCTTATCACCTTTACCGTTTTCAATATGACGGTCGATGGCATTGTAACACATGTTAAGCATTCCTTCCACAAACCTGAAAAATAATTGAAAAGCAAAGGTCAAGATATGTTATTGATTAAGTCACTATGTTTCTACGGTGGCAGAGTTAGGCTTAGAACAGTGTTGCTTCATGCGTACTACGACAGGTAATGATAGCTGTAAAGTAGGTATTTAAGATGATAGACCAAGTCCATTTTTATTTTAATAAATATGTATTTATTTTGATGTGATCTAGAAAAGGTATAACTCACACTTCAAACGGACAACTGCCTGGATTTTATTGCTTAGGATAAAGCGAGAGTGTAGAACAGCAAATAATCTATTCTACATAGATGAAATAAATCAAATGTAAGTGCAGTGCAGAGGCCCTTCAGATGTGGGAGGGAAATGGCAGATGTACGACTGAAGCTTTTGTACCTGCCCCAAATAGATGGACTTACTGGAGAAACCCATTCTTCCTTAAAAGGGTTATATGTATTTTTGGCTTCAATGAAATGGGATGCTTCTGATTAAATGAAACATAGATTAATTTTTCTGTATGTTTGAGATGATTCGTAATTTGAATAAAGAATGGGCATGCACATAAAATATTTACTTTTTTTTGAAGTTTTTGGCCGGGACTGGGTTTGAGCCCGCCACATCCAGTATATGGGGCAGGGCCCTACTCCTTTGAGCCACAGGCACTGCCCCCAAAATATTAACTTTTAAATATCTTAGCCATTTCACCAAAACTTTGAAAACACAAATATCATGTAGATACATGAGAAAACTTCTGAAGGAAAGATAGCACATTTTCCCATAAGAAAAATCTTTATATTTGCCACATTTTTTTTAGGAGATGAAGATTTGATTAAAAAATACAAGCATAGTAATGACCCCTTTCTTCCTGAGTCAGACTACCAGATGCTGTAAGAATGCAAAATAACAGAAAAATTTATTGAAGCAAGAAGAAAAAGTCCTGTTAACAAGATGAGTATCATCTTCAGGTCTTCACTTAGCCCCGTGTGCAGTGAAGCAGGGACTTAAAGGCAGCTACCTACACCGTGAGAGCATTAAAAGATAATAGCTCCCGAAAGCAGCAGGAGGAGGGATCATTTAACCAGAGGCAAATTACTGTATGCATTTCAGTAATAGTGAGTATGACCACCCACAGCATAGCACAAGAAGTAATTAATGTAATGATGCTGAATCCAGAGTGTGATAGACCTAATGTTTGTTCAGAAATATTTTATCTTACCCTTGTCCTACTTTCATAGGAATATTTTGTCTCTTCCCTTTGGCCCTGCCTCCATGAGTAGAAAGGATGTCTCTTGGTTTTGGCCTTATCATGCACCTGCCCTGGCTAATGCAGTGTCGGCAACATGATATGAGCGGAGACTGGCTCTCCCACACATCTCCCTTCTTAAGGGGAAGAGCCTCCCAGACCTGAGAGCTCCCACCTCAGCACGGCCCCCAAAATGAATGTTTGCAGGTAGGAACAGGGTCCCAAAGCAGCAAAAAGCCACCCAGGCGAAGGCCCTAGGGCAACGCTCGCACCACACCCAACCAAGATCTGCTGACGCTGTGACAACCTGCAGACACACGGAAATAAATGTTGCATGTTTTTATAAATAAAAACATAAATGTTGCAGAGATTTTTGTGGTGACAAGTTACGCAGTATCACTGTGGCCGCGAGTATCTAATACACCAAGAAAAAGGTAAAGTTTGCTCAGCATTCTGTGATAGAAATAAGGAAACACGTTTTATAGAGTTTCCCATAAAATTCTTTTCTTTTAGGGGGAGTTGTTCCTGAAAAGAACCCATTTCGGACACTGGGCTATTTACGTGTAGAACATTTCTTGATAATGTCATTGATCTCTTGCACGCAATCTATGACTTCTAATTGGCCACTCTCTGTGCTCAATATTTGATAACGTTCATGACATTTTACCAAAACAAAAAGGTGGGGAGGAGTTCCTTCACTTCCAAAGATTCCTGGAGAATTAATTCACTTTGCCGTTTCCCTTATGGTTCCGCCTCTTTCCTTGCTCCTTCTCCATGACTTCTGTGGAATCTTCTTTGCCTCATCAGGAATCGGCTCTGATGCCTCCCGTTCCATAGACATCCCTCTGCTCCAGCTACTTTTTCTCCCTGGATAACCTCTCCTTTCCGAGCACCAGACCTGTGCAGCAACAGTCTGCTGAACATCCCCAACTGGAAGGAAGACCATGTCCAGAACTATAATCATCTCACCCCACAGCCCCACCCCCACCGCAAACCAGCGCTGCCTCCTGTTTTCTATATTTCAAGGAACCATGTTGCACCCAGTGACCTGAACTGGCAACCCAAAGTCAGTTTCAGACCTGCATCCTCAAAATCCAATCAGTTATATGTCAGGCCGCACATACTTGTATTGTCTCTGTAATTGCTGGATCCTCCTATTCATCATCTAATTTACAAAGATTGCTTCTTAATTAACCTTCTTGCTTCAGATCTGACCCCGTCCTCTCGAGGCATCTCCCTCTGCTACTCGGATGTATTTCCTCAATGTAAATATTATATAAATACGTCAAGTGGTACTCAAAGTTGTTTAATATATTTTCCTGAAGTTCAGAATGAAAACTGTATGTGCTTACATGGCATGCAAAACCCATTCATCTCTTCAGACTCCTTTCCCCTCATGCAACTTCACAAGCTCTAGCAATATGGAATTACAAAATTCATACTACTTAGAACGCCACCAGCTACGACTTCTGTGATTATCCTTTGACGTTACACCACCCTCCCCCAAGTGGGTCTACAGCCCTGTGTACACATCTCTACCATCGCACTCCTCCCATCCCTTAGCAATACGTCTCCTTTGGTGTTTGCTGCATTACCCTGTGCTCTACCTGAAAGCAGAGACTACATAAAACTGCAATACCGGTCAATAAATAGATAAATGTGTAAAGGAAAATATTAATAGACTTTTAAGAATCACTGGATTTAAAATCCAGGTGCAGTAACCAGGGAAATTTTTACTATTATGTTTTAAAACTGAAAGAATAAAGACCAAAACCAACACCAAGGGCATTTAGTTAGGAATTGGAGAGAGCCATAACCAAAATCTAAGTCCTGAAATCTAGACTGATATTCTAATCCACAATATCATAGTCAATCAATCATGTATTAATAATGTTTTTTCCTCTGTTTTTGAATTCCCTAATGCATTTCTCTGTCATTTCCATTTTGTTGTTTAGCCCATTCAGTGAGTTTGCATTTTGACTATTGTATTTTTAAGTTACAAAATTTCCATTTGGTTATTTTTATACTTTTTCTCTTTGGCTGAAGATTGATATTTCTTTATGGAGGTTGTTCTTTAAATTTGTTTTGCAGGTGTTTGTAATTAAACAATTATTGGAGGATTTTTTAATGATGGCTGCTTGGAAATCTTTGTCAGACATCTACAAGAGTTTTTCCAACTTTTTCTTCTAGAATTTTCACAGTTTCATGCCTTAGGTTTTAGTCTGCTATCCAACATGAATTAATTTTTGTGAAAGGTGTAGAACCTGTTTCAATCTTCTACTTGAGGCTAATTAATTTTTCCAGCACCGTTTGTTGAATAGGATTTATTGTCCCTAGTGTATGATGTCATCTGATTTGTCAAAGATCAGCTGGATGGCAAAGTAGGGATGGTTTTATATTGAGTTTTCTGCTCTGATCCATTGATTATGAGTCTGTTCTTGTGCCATTGCCATGCTTGATTGGTTACTATAGCTTTGTAGTATAGCTTGGAGTCTGGTAAAGTGATGCCTCCTGATTTATTCTCTTTGCTTTAGGTTACTTTGGTTCTTTGGGGTCCTTTGTGGTTCCATATGAAGTATAGAATTATTTTTTCTATATCTATGAAAAAAAGATGTTAGTATTTTTAATGGGAATTGCATTGAATCTGTAGATCACTTTGGGTAGTATAGACATTTTAACAATGTTGATTCCACTGACCCATGAGCATGATACACTTCTCTATTTGTGTACCTCCTCCACTCTTTCCTTCTTCAGAGATATGTAGCTCTCCCTATAGCGATCTTTTACCTCCTTGGTTAAACATACTCTCAAGTATTTTATTTTCTTTGTTGCTACTGTGAAAGGTATTGAGTCTTTGATTTGATTCTCAGCTTGACTGTTACTGTACGCTGATTTTGTACATCAATTTCTTAACCTGAGAAGCTGCTGAATTTAAGATCCTTCCAAACTCTGTATCATCTCGGTGTATCTATTAGTTGTTTTTCTGATTTAAGTTGAGATTTTTCTGGTTCTTGACATAGCAAATAACTACTGGCTCTTGATACAATGACATCAGTATTATATTATGAGACTCTGGAACTTTTTTAATCAACTGATCTCAGTATTCTATTTTAGCAGGCCTCCTCTGACCCTGTGCTCATGAGCAGGCAGATACCTCACTACCACATTACTCAGGATCAAAGTGTAAGTTCCAGCCCATCACTATGCCTCCCTGATGCCACTTAAGCTGATAGGTGTCTCCCTGCTGACGGGCTGGGGTGAAAATCCAGGTTCCCAGTAGGCTTCTTCAACCAGCCTGGATAAGAAGGGCATGGATGGCTTAGCTAGAAAGAAAGTTTCAGCTCCAGCTCACAGCATGTAAACTAATCTAACACCACCACAGGAGGTGCCAAGGTTTGACAACTCATGAGGATGGGATTTGGGCCACAATCTCTTCCAAAGTGTTTGGCTGTATTAGCGCAATTCTTATCTAAAGGTTTTCAGTCTTTCCAGAAAACTTTTCTGTTCCTTTGTTGGTTTTTTAGCCAGAAAGAAAAGGTTTCTGTTGGGGCTTTTCCTAGCCTGTGCCCACTGGTGTTTCTGGGATGCCAGTTACCTCTAGTGCCCTGTGTGGGTTATATAAGACAAACAGAAAACCCAGGGAACTTGTCATTTCATTCCTCATGTCCTAAAATTCTTAGCTGTTTGCCTTCTCTTTACGGTTCAGTCTTCTTACACCTGCTGGATATATAATGTCCTAGGTTTTTAGCTCCATTTAGTACAATAAGCAA